TGGGCTGCAGCTGTGGGCTAGAGCTGGGGCTGTGGCAGGCTCTTCTTGGTAGGGGCTGGGCTTGGGGCAGGCAGCAGCGGTGCTGGGAAGGGGCTATGGAGGGAGCTGCAGACAGCCCAAATTTTGCTGTAGTCCCACTCCCAGCACCGCTGCCACCCGCCAGGTGCTGCCTAGCCCCTGTCGAGAAGAGCCTGGTGCATCCCCAGCTCCAGCCTGCAGCTGCAGCCTGCCTGCCCCACCCCACACAGATCCGGGGGCATATGCCTCCCCCATGCCCTCCCAGGGTGCAAGCAGCAGTGGGAGCCGCCCCCCCCGCACTCCCTGGATGAGCCGTGGCTCCATCCCGTGCCCTGCCCCACCCCAGTGGGGCAGTACCTTTCCCTGCCCCCTCCCTCCCTCACCATGCAGGGCGTTGATTTCCCCCCCTATGCCTTTTCCCTCCCCCTCTCCTTCCTCTACAACAGACTTACCAGCCACATGCTAGGACTGTGCGAAGCGGAAAGTATTCACTTTGGATTTGGTGGGGCAGTGATTCAATTCAATGATTCAAATCAGTGTTCCAATTCGATTCATCTGAATCCAAAGATATTCGGTGCTGAATCTTATTTGGCCATAAGCTATACAGGCAGGCAGTGCCAGCGGGAGCAGCTAGACAAGCCCTGACTTAAGCTGGCAGGTCTGGGAGAAGCTGCGGCTTGTCTGGCTGCTCCCCCGGCTGCTCCCGCCAGCACTGCTTAGTGTCTGCCTGCATAGTCTATGGACAAAACTCCAAATTTCTCCAAATCTCTCTGTATCAATTTGGAGACTTCCGATCGGAGGCTTCCAGATTCAAAGATTCGGCCACCAAATTGTGCCAAATCTACTCTGAATCGAATCGGTTACCAAAGCTTTGCATAGCTCTACTGCACACAGCTATCTTGGAAATCGGATTGGTATCGGCCAATATGTCTCCTTAAAAATCAGCTATCAGTATCGGCCCCCAAAATCTCTATTAGTGCACCCCTATTTATCACATATTTATCCTGCCTCCAAACTGCTATACAGCACTACAGTGAGGCACAACACACTTGCTGGAAACTAAACCTTCAAACAGATACAATATAGCCACCCTGGAGTGGCACTGCACATATGTCAGTAAGCTCCTTGTCTCTGGGACCACATTTTCTCAAATACAACCTGCAACCCCTCCCCTCCCAAAAAATCATTCCAGTCCCAAAACCCCTAAATGGGTGTGCTTTTTTAAAGTAGGGAAACGGTTGTCTTCACTGGAAAAACAGCAAGCCTGGAGACACTGTGCATGCCATGCAGCTGCCAAGATGGTGAAGCCCTGTGTTAGCCCTCACATAGCCATAGCTGTTGGCTGAGTGTTCCTGTTTTTGCCTGCCAGAAAGTTAGCTGGTGATAGTATCTTGATGAGACTTAGGATGTGGACACATCACTTGATTTACATGAACTGATATAAAGAATTACTTACAATAAGGAACTAACAGTATTGGTATTCCCCATGCAAGGGTCTGGGAGCTAACCTTGTATGACAGAGTATGGTGTCCTGGGAACATGGTGTGTCTGGGAAATACAGAGGAAAAAGTATGAATGAGGCAGCCAGCATCAGGAATTTCCTGGTACCATACTTCCTGGATACTTTGTGTTCCTAGGAGGGTTTATTTTATGTCATACAGTCAGCCATGACCCTGGAAAAACATTTTTTTTCTCCATTCCATCTTCGAAAAACAAGCTGCCTATTTTATTTGGGGCCATGTTGTATGAAAGAAAATACAGTATGTTTAATAGCCAATGCCCAACACCAAGGTAGCTGTATTATATTTATTGCCAGTTTTAGTGTGCATCAAGTGGGTGGGCTATACTGCACTAAAGCTTTCTCAAGCACAGTCAGGAGATGATGGAGACATGCCTTAAGAGAGCCATGTGTAATTTTTACACGGGGCCATGCAGCTTTCCTGTTACTTTTTAATCCCCAGCTTATCCTCAGGAAAGACATCCTGGAAAACACAAACTCTGTACTGATTTCAATGGAATTACATTATGAATGAATTTGGCCAGTGAAGCCAAGATAATATAACTGTCTCTAATTGGCTGTGGTTCTAAATCATTTGCTAGTCAGTTGCAGTAAATATGCCACCATGACTGTAAGAAAACACTGTTTGCAAAACTCACTACATAGCTTCTATTTTCCAAAGTCTCAGAACTTCAACTGGGTCACCATGTACAGTGGCATAACTAAGGCAGGGTGACAGAGGCAACTGCCCCAGGCGCAGATGCTGGTAGAGGGTGAAAAAATGCTTTGTACCCTAAAATCAGCCGTATGACTGCAACCATAAGTTGCAGCTGTCCCTGGGTACAGTAGCCACCCTGGGCCTCCACCTGCAGTCTTGTGTTCCTGATCATGTGCATTAAAGCTAATATGCCAAGAAGGAATTAAAACAACTCTACTGTACCTATTAAGTCAGAACAGGCTCCACTCTCCAGTCTGTGTTTCCTGTATAAATTCTTCAGGACTTTAGCACTGCCAAAACGTTTAAAGCGGCTTTTTACATTATTATAAAACCATTCCAGGGACTGGGTCCTTAGGAGTCTAAAGAAAACAAATAAAGAACATTTCAGATTGTGTAAAATGATCCTACATAAAAACCCAAACATTTTCCTTCCCTTCCTTAAAAACAGTATCTACCAAGTTCTTTTGAGCCTTGTAGTATAATATTTACCTTTCTAATCACAGTTTCTTAGTTTTAGCTTGGATAAATCTGATTATTTGGCTAAATAAGTACTGGAAATCTAGCTAACAGTAAGTATCTCTATATTAGTAGTTTTGTTTATTATCATATCAAATTATTTGGTTAGGTTTCACAAATGTATACCATCACACACATTTACAGAAAATAACAGGTTGGGCAAAGCCTAAACAAATAATCTTAGCTCAGCTTAAGCAAAAAGCAGTGAATAGAATAATTTACTGAGAAATATGCAAAATTGTAGCTTGGTCCAAGGTGTCATAAATCTCAATCAATAATATATATAAAATATAATCACATTGGAGTGTATTCTTTTGTTCCTATGCTTGTGATAAGCCAAAAGATCCTGTAAAACTCTACATTGCTCCCAATATCAACATGAAAAACAGATTTGGCACCTCTTCTCTTGGTGGAAACAAAACAAATCACACTGAGTGGCTAGATCCAAAATGTTGGCTCTATGGGCTTTGGATCAGGTTCCAAAAGATGCAGAAAATACTGGTTGTAAGCATTTTTGGTATCATATTTTATTATAAATCCACAAGCTAATGACTCTTTGCTTGGTATCTTTATACCCCTCACCTGTTGAAGGACGGACAGATGGTCCACCATAGAGGAATGTCTCAGAGGATGCAGCCCACAATTAATGATTTATAGTCCCAAAAAGAGACGAAATCTTGAAAGGGCCTCTATGAATCCACAGCACAGCCTAAACTTAAAGCTGCATTCTCTGAGCAGTACCCTTAGGTGAAAAAAGCAGTGTTTGCATCAGCAAGTGTGAATCAGCACCAGCGTGATTTGTCACAATTTGAACTGACACATTTAATTGTTTACTGCCACATCAATTTATTTACTTTATGCCACGCCTTCAGATTATAGGTAGTAAAGTGACTGGTACATTCTGACGTGACACAAAAACATCCTATTTAGCATTTAGTATAACGTGGTTGCAAAGATCAAAGGATTTCCCTTCCCCCCTTAACTGTTTTTAGTTAGTAAAAATGGGAGCTTCAAAAAATTAACAATTAAAAGAATTTTAAGAATTTTCATAGCATCATAGAATCAATGAGTTGGAAGGGACCTAGACAGATCATCTAGTCCGACCCCCTGCCATGGGCAG